TACTATTACTACGAGTACCCAGCGCTGTATAGCCCTTGTGGCTTAGCGCTTCTTTTTGATTATAATAATAATAATACTACGAGTACCTACAACATGGACCAGTAGGCCCATTGCAGTGCTTATGCTCTTTCACCTCAAGTTACCTATATACGTATACCCTCTGTGTCCTTGGTTGTAACCAAACGTTGCCTCAATAAAATATCATTCAAATTTTCCATGGGGAAATAATGTTCAATAGTTACAAATTTTTACTGCTTAGATACGGGAAGAATGAGCTCATAATGAGCCCAGTATACATAATGGAAGCAAACATCTCATAGAACATAAGACAGAATTAAGCAAATGTAGCAACGGTCAAGACAGTGACAAGGTGGATTATGAGAACATTCAGAACAAGAGAAGTAATGCCAGTTATGGTACATTTTAAATCAGTGGTGCCCTCACGACTACAGTTTTGTTCTGTGCTCAACCTTTTTCAAAACAGGAGAGAGAGAGAGAAGAGAAGAGAAGAGCTGGAAAATGTATACTACCCGCACAGAATCAGTAAAACACTCAAACTATTGGTAGTCTAATTACCGAGATTGCTGTCTCCGGAACAGAGACACGCGCTTTATAATATATACATGGAAGATAATTGAGGGGGCTGATCTCCAATCTGCACAATGTCATAACAATTTACTTGGGAAAGCTTTAAAATATATTTAGTGAAAATCAACAGTGTCATTCAAGAGTTGTCTTGATGCCAAAAGGCTCTTGATACAAAGAATTGGAATTACTATTCCTTTCCTTGGATCGAATCTGAATATCTTTTATTTCCCTGGCGCTTTGTAACTCCTACGGGTTCAGCGTTCTCCATGATTGTAACAACACATTTCGACGACGTTTTGGTCCATCCAGGCCATTATCAAGTCTTTTGTGGCTTGATCCGGATGGACTGAAACGTCTAGAGTTTCTTTTCAAAAGTAAAAGTTATTTGTGAACGATTAGAGAACACTGTAAACATTGATGGTACCAGCAGATATAAATATTGCCCGAACGAAGACAGAAGTTTTCACGGTGGGAACTAGATCACAGTCTCCTGTAGGTGCCTAACCAGTTGGGTTGTGATGGTTGTTGTCCTGTTGGGCCTCCATCACCAACAACCAGGTTAACTAATCCGCCGATAGGAAACCCTGACTGCAAGGGCAGAACCCTCGAAATCTGTCGTAGGTATGTTACAGGTTTGTCAGTATAATTTCAGTTAGGTAAATGGGCCAGTATCGCCCTTTGAATGAGTAATTTATCCAGCTGGATCATATTCGTGTTGGGTGGTATTTCCGGCTGCGTCACAAAATACATATAACTGGAGAGTTCCGGCTGACGGAGGCGGTGGTGGTGGTGTTACAGTGGTGGCTCAGGCGTACGAGACCCGTGTCAGCGACGAGTTTGTCATCAGGGGAAATGCCGCCATCATCAAGTGCTCCATCCCATCCTTCGTCGGCGACTTCGTCAGCGTCCACTCGTGGGTCACGGGTGAAGGCCAGGCTTACTTCCCCTCTGCTACTTATGGTACCATATACCTAACTCCATTTCCTGGTCCCAGGGTGGTAGCTAAGTCACACTTCAGTTGCGGTACTGTACATTTTACTCACTCTTCACTTGTGCCTCATCCTCACACTGCACGTGCGGCGCCTCATCCTCACACTGCACGTGCGGCGCCTCATCCTCACACTGCACGTGCGGTGCCTCATCCTCACACTGCACGTACACTACATTTTTCTCACACTTGTACAGATTCTTGATACATCACTTATGGTACATCTTCCTCACTTTTTTTTACGATGTAACATTTGTAATAACTTACATAATTATTATATTATTATTACAGAACATGGAGTACTTTCGCCATTACTTGTTAGTTTTAAGTTTTAATGACAAATAATATTTTTCTGTTGTAAGTTTGACACATTGTCATATTTTAACATTTTATATCACAGGTGTACTGGCAGCTGTCTGATGGATGATGTACATGTCAACACAGGTTGTATTTTACTGCTGTGTTCACGTTCATACGTGAAGCACGTAATGAATTTACACGTATTATTACAACTCTGTATGGTTAAAATTTACTAACACCGAATAGGTAAAATTGGCCAATTATGAAGAACTCGTGTAAAATTAGGTCCTTTCAAAAAATTTCTCTTGTATGTTTAAAGATATATTTTTTAATTTATGTTAATGTGAAAATTAATATTTTTGTACCCAAAGAACCTTAGAAAACTTACCTAACCTTATTATAACAAGCGCAATTTAATTTAGCCTATTTCAACTAAATATATTTTAGATAAGTTTACAATAATTTAATAAACAAACATAATGAAATATATTTTTTTCGTTAGGTTCAGAATGATTTTCGCGAAACTATTGCATACGCATATTTTCGCTTGCCTTATTCGGTAAGAAGAGCATTCCTGTTTAAGCCAACATCTCGAATACTTCATCCATAACAAATTTTGTAACATTAAATTCTTGTCAGTTGGAGTGATATGACGACTTTATTGACCAAATATATGGAATGAACCGGGGTATCGATTAAATTTGCTGCGGATCACTACATCTGTGTGTATTGAAAATACATAATCTGATAATCGATAAGCTGTATAAAAAATATATATCAGCTATTATATGCAGTAAGCTCCATTTTCATGTTATTTTTGTTGTTGAAAATTAAATCGAAGAATTTTTTTCTCTCTAAATCTCATTGGAATGTCTTAATTTTTTTCAGGGTGACCTCAGCCTAGTTAGCCTTGGACCAGGTGTTTTATGTGATGAATCTACTATTTGTGCTCTCTTCTTAATAAATAACTTTATTAAGATAATATATAATAATGCTACAAGTATCTTCTTCCTTGAAGACGCCAGGCAGCCATGATAGCAGTGGCGCCAATGCCACATTGTTGTCTACCTTCAGTATTTGGGAATTATTCTAGTGTTGGTTGTGTTGAGTTTCGTAGCACCGTTGAGAGGTGAGCGCTGTGGCTTAGCTCACCTGACTGCCCGTCTACTCTATCTACCCCACCATGCTTCACTGACATCTTATCTGCATCTGAACTCCCATAAGAAATAACCGCATTACTCTTTCCCAAGCTGACAGCACCAGCAGACCGGAAGTTATTATTCAATTGCCACATTTCAGAGGAAATTGTCATTTTTTTTTTGAAGCCCAGCGAGTAATGAGACTTAATTGTTGCTTATACTGTTATGGTGGTGATAGATATGCTGGAGATATGCTGGCGAGACAGTGACGACAACACTAGCAATCACCATCTCTGTGTTCACCTTGCTAAATTATTGGTTTTAATGTTAAAATCCAGGTCATTGTCATTTAAGTGAGAGAGAACACTGGTGTTCATCATTAATAATAATAAAGGAAAAATCATCGGTTTAATTAAATTTATATAAGAAGCTGAACACCAATATTGTCTTCTCACATTAAGGTATTAAACTTTTTATTATTTAAGATTTGTATTTTATATAGCTAAATTACTATTTGTTTTGGAATATAGTTATAAATTACAGTAAAATCTTTTATTAGATTGATAAATGTACATTACTGAAGTTAATATTTTAAATTAAATTGCATGTTACATTGACTTTAGATATATAGTAAAGAGCATTACTGGAATTAAAACCTTAACATGCTTTATTAACATAAAATATATTTCTTATTTAACTTCATTAAATTTGCAATAAAACAGTTAAAAATTTGAAGATATACAAAGGTTAAGGTGCATAGGATGTTAGGGTAAGAGTGTGTTGGCTACACTGTCATGTCCTCGGGGGAGGAAGTTTACCATGTTAGTGATGTCATAGTGAAGCGGCTCCCAGCTGCTCTCACATCTTGCTCACCTCACATTACTGATGTTAGTGATGTCATAGTGAAGCGGCTCCCAGCTGCTCTCACATCTTGCTCACCTCACATTACTGATGTTAGTGATGTCATAGTGAAGCGGCTCCCAGCTGCTCTCACATCTTGCTCACCTCACATGCATATTTTGAATATAGTTGTTTCATTAACATGGTAAACTTTATACAGGTTTTGTTGCCATCACAGGTTCACTTTCACATGGTAACTTTTCAGAAGGATTTAACGTAAATATATAAACGTAGGTCATATTTTGCGTATGTCGAGCCTCCTAAAACTTCTCGTGTTTCCCCCATGACGGCCAAGATGTGAGCAAGACGGATGTGGGCGGAGGCAGAGGCTGTGTGGTGGGGAGTGTAGAGGTGGTGGGAGGAGTCAGGAGCAGGCTGGCAGGATCCAGGGGTAGGACAAAGCAGCACAATATAGCGAGGTTGTGAACTTACGGAAACATTACGCTAATATACATACACACATCCGGTGATTGTTGCCGTATCCAAAGTGAATCTGTGATGAGCTTGATATTGGGACATACAAGCGGGTAACCCTGTGTCCTGGACTTTTAGACAAGATTTGAAATAGCAATTTAAAATTTTTATTAATACACACTAAACTGCTCAGATATTTTTATAGTGTTTGAGTTTTTTTTTTGTTTTGTTTTGTTTCGGAAATTCATATAGTGTTTTTTTATACTTGAGTATTTTAATAATAGTAAATATGATTTATCCGTTATCAAGTTATCATGGTTTGTCTTGCAGTGTATTATCATCAATAACAACCTCCATAACTAATTAATTATACCATTGTATAATATTTATTATGACGATGTTACCGTAATAAAATTATGAGTAAAATATATCATGCGTTTAGGAAACTTAACAGAATTATAAAAATAATACATTATTAAATGATGGTTAAAAGTCCAGGAGGTAGAGTTAGCCGTAAGAGCTGGTCTGGACACTTGGTAGGAATCTCCTAGACCCCTCAAGGGCCTCTTCCATGGCCCTCGTGGGCTCTTGCTGTGAGTAGCTACGTGTCTGCACCAGCAGTCTGCGAGGAAGGTGTATTAACAATGGTGTGTTTTGTCCCTCCCACTCAGACGGCAAGTACTTGGTCCTTCCCTCCGGAGAACTACATATTCGTTCTGTGAGCTCCGAGGACGGCTTCAAAAGCTACAAATGTCGCACTGTTCACCGCCTCACTCAGGAGACCCGCCTCTCTGCTACTGCTGGACGACTTGTCATCTCTGGTAAGTCAATAACACAGACATGTGGGCAGCCAGGGTAGGGGGTAGGAAAAGTTAGGTCGGCAAAGGTTGGAATAAAAAATTTTGGGGTAGAACTGAGGATAGCCTCCAAAAAGCTTTTATCTTAGGATACTTCTAAGTTAGAGAAGGGAAGGGGAGGGAAAGTTCTCTGGACAAGGGGGGGTAGGGAAAAAGGAAGGAGGGATAGGAAGAAGCAGACGGAAAAAATTGTCTTCAGAAGAGAGAGGGGGGGAACTAAAAGGTCCTTAAAAGGGATGGGGTGAGGAAAAAGGAAGGGTTTTAAAAAAATTTTGAGGAGGGGGGGGGGGTCTGGGGGGGCTTTGGGGAAAGGGAAGAGGGGGGGAATTTGGGGGATAAAGGGGTGAGAGGAATTTTAGGAGAAGGGGGGGGGGGTTATAAAAAGGAAGGCAGGAAGAACCCAAGGGAGAGGGGGGAAGTGCTGTAGAAGGGGAAGGGACAGGGGTAGGAGGGTTAGAGGGATTTTGTAGAAAGGCGCAGGGGCAGAGGAAGGGTTCCGAAAAAAAAGGGGATTTGGGGGGGGGAGAAGGGAGGTAGGAAATGAGGAATGGGGCTGGGAGATGTAAGGAAGGGGGCTGGAGAAGGGGGAAGGGAGCTGGGAAAAGAGGGGAAGGGGAGGTGGGGAACGAGGGGGGGGAGGTGGAGCTGGAGAAGGAGGGAGGGAGGAAGGGGAGTGGGAGGGGGGAGGGAGGGGGGAAGGGGGGGCCGGAAGGAAGGAAGGAGGGAGGGAGGGAGCTGGGGGGAAAAAGGGGGGGAAAAAGGGGAGCCGGGAAGAAAGGGGAAAAGGGGAAACCCGGGGAAGAAGGGGGGAAAGGGGGGGGGTGGGGAAGAAGGGGGAAAGGAAAGTGGGAAGGGGAGCCCGGGGAATAGGAGAGGAAGGGGGCTGGGGGAAAAAGAGGGGAAAAGGGGAAAAAGGGGGAAGGGGCTGGGGAAGAAGGGGGGGAAAAAGGGGAAAAAGAATGGAAGGGAAGCTGGGGGGAGGGGAAGGGGGGCCCGGGGAAATAGGAGAGGAAGGGGAGCTGGGAAGAAGGGGGGGGGAAGGAAACTGGGAAAGAGGGGGAAAGGGAAGTGGGGGGGAAGGGGGAAGGGGAGTGGGGAAGAAGGGGAAGGGGAGTGGGGAAATAGGAGAGGAAAAGGGGGGCTGGGGAAGAGGGGAAGGGGGGCCGGGAAGTAGGAAGGGGAAGGGGGGTGGGGGGAAAAAGGGGAAGGGGGCCGGGGAAATAGGGGAGGAAGGGGAGCTGGGGAAAAAGGGGAAAGGGGAGCCGGGAAGTAGGGAGGAAGGGGAAGGGGAGCGGGGAAATAGGAGAGGAAGGGGGGAGGGAAGAAGGGAAGGGGAGCTGGAAGTAGGAGAGGAAAGGGGAGCTGGGGGGGAAGGGGGGGGTGGCCGGAAATAGGAGAGGGGAAAGGGGGGGGGGAAGAAGGGGGAAGGGGAAACTGGGGAAGGGAAGGGGAAGGGGGCTGGGAAGAAGGGAAGGGGGGGCTGGGAAGTAGGAGAGGGAAGGGAAGTGGGGAAGAAGGGGGAAGGGGGGCTGGGAAGTAGGGAGGAAGGGGGGCTGGGGAAAAAGGGGAAGGGGGGGGCTGGGGAAGAAGGGGAAAAGGGAAATGGGGAGTAGGAGAGGAAGGGAAGGGGGAAGAAGGGGGAGGGGAGCTGGGAAAAAGGAGAGGAAGGGGAAACTGGGAAGTAGGAGAGGAGGGAAGCTGGGGGAAAAAGGGGAAAAAGGGGGGTGGGAAGTGGAGAGGAAGGGGAACTGGGGGGGAAGGGGAAGGGGAGCTGGGGAAATGGGAGGAGGGGGGGGCTGGGAAAAGGGGGGGAAGGGAAGCTGGGGAAGAAGGGGAAGGGGGGGCTGGGAAAATAGGGGAGGAAAGGGGAAGCTGGGGGAAAAAGGGGAAGGGGAGCTGGGAAAAGGGAGAGGAAGGGGAGCTGGGGAAAAGGGGGGGGGGAGCTGGGGAAATAGGGGGGAAGGGAAACTGGGGAAATAGGAGAGGGGGGAAACGGGGAAGAAGGGGAAAAGGGAGTGGGAAGTAGGAGGGAAGGGAAAAGGGGAAGGGGAGCTGGGGGTAGGAGAGGAAAGGGGGCTGGGAAGTGGAGAGGAAGGGGAAACTGGGGAAGGAGGAGAAGGGGGCGGGAATAGGAGGGAAGGGGAGCTGGGGGGAAAAGGGGAAGGGGAGCTGGGAATGGAGAGGAAGGGGGGCTGGGGAAAAAAGGGGAAGGGAGCCGGGAAGTAGGAGAGAAGGGGAAGGGGGGAGAAGGGGGAAAGGGGGGCTGGGAAATAGGGGAGGAGGGGAAGCTGGGGGGGAAGGGGGGGGAAGGGAACGGGGAAAAAGCAGGGTTATTTCAGAAAATATAATAAAAGGGAAGCAGTAGAAAACGAAGGCGACTTTTGTATTTTTATTTAGTTATTTTTTATTGTGATAAAATTTTTAAAATGTTATAGATTTTAGTTGTAATATTTTGCTGAGTTATAAGAAATAAATTCCATTTTAATTAGAAAAAAAAATTTTTTGCTTTATTTTTAAAGTAAATTTTTAAGTAACGTAAAGTTTTTTTGAAAATTTAAAGTTAGTGAATTATAATATTTTGTAATTGTTATAAAAAACCCAGTGAATCCTTGGAAAAACATTTTCACAAACTGCAGCTTAAATTGCATTAAAAAATATTAATAAAAAGATGAAATTTTAGTTTTTAAGTTGGGTGTTGTGAGGGGGTTTTCTGGGGATCCCGCGGGTTGTAACAAGGAGCCGAATGTTGGGATGGGGTACCCCTCCCGTCTCGCTTTAACTCGAAATATAACGAAAAATATTGATTAAAAATTGGCTTTATCATGGGGGTTTAAATAGTCCGTTTTTTTTCTCAAAATTATTTGCTGTTTTTTTTAATATCGGTAATAATTGATTGGAAAATGGCCTCTGCCGTGAATTTTAAAACACAGTCCTCCCCTTACAACAAGTCTTTAAATGAACAGTTATACTGCGTGCCACACCACACACACACACACCACCACACAACACACACACCACACACACACCACACCAACACACACACACAACACACACACACCACACACAAAACATATATGTGTTGAGAAGTTTGAGATTATAACAGTATACAGGTGTGGTAGGGAGGGTGGGAAGGGTATTATAGGTACAAAGCTCGGAGTTGGTATAGTTAGACCTGTAGGGAGGTAGGATGCTGGAAGTGCACTTCACAGTAGACCTGTAGGGAGGTAGGATGCTGGAAGTGCACTTCACAGTAGACCTGTAGGGAGGTAGGATGCTGGAAGTGCACTTCACAGTAGACCTGTAAGGGAAAGGGAGGATATTAAAGGTACATCATTACCGTTTACTGACTGATTCTTTAAGCCAGTTATGAGTAGATGTGACGGTCAGTCTCTTCGCTGGACGTCTGGAGGCAGCAAAGGTAAGTGAAGTTTTTAGTTTGTCACTCTGACGCGTCTTATCACTTTGTCACTCCGTGGCGTCCTCATAGGTAGGGTCTAACGCATTAGCCTAATGTTAGGCCCTCAGTGTGCTTGTTTCCACCCAGTTAATGTTATACTTGCTATCTAACCTTTAAAGGTATGAGATAGAGACGAAGCTGTGTGGTTGCCTAATTAACAGCAGTGAAAGTTGTGTACCCAGCTGGCACCAGTTTTATGGGTGAGGCGTGTCAGTGTATGACACAACCAGTTGACACTGGTGATTGTTGAAAGGAACAACACTGGTCTCATGAGCTCAGGTCATGGAGAGAGGATGCCCAGTGTACATTGGTCACTGTTACTAGTGCAGTGACAGTGATACAGGTCACTGTCGTGTGACAGTGAAGTGTATCAGTGCTGCACATTATTGTTGCCTTCTATGATACTTTTCCAGCTGAAGTGCGTCTCATGGTTTTAGTTGTCATCTAACATTAAAGTTGGCATTTCCGTGTAATAGACAACACAGTGTAAAACCAAGACCATATGTCATAATTGCATATGGAATAATTTCCAGGGAAATCAACTCACCGACTGTGATTATTGGTTGTAGTTACACCTCTGGTTTACCTGTAATTGCTCCTTGTAATTATTTCCATCTCAGACTCCAGATTTTTAGCGGTTTCCAAGTTGACGTGTCAGGGTGATACATTAGTTTGTAGTCAATCTTGGATGTGTGAAAAATGCTTTGTTGTGAGGCGTAATTATTTCATTTGTGTGTGTGTGTGTGTGTGTGTGTGTGTGTGTGTGTGTGTGTGTGTGTGTGTGTGTGTGTGTGTGTGTCCGTCCCCACCCTGCCTCGGTGGGAGACGGCTGACGTGTTAAATATATATATTATATATATATATATATATATATATATATATTATATATATATATATATATATATATATATATATATATATATATATATATATATATATATATATATACACTCATAGGACTGAGAAATTACCTGGGTGGGGTAAACTGGTGTAATGTGACTGGTCATTATCCTTTGGGTCAGGTAGGCGGTGATTTTTTTCAAAGCGTAGTTCCAACCTCTCAGGTTTCTTACGTTACATATGGGGAAATTGGATCAAAGAAAAATGACCCTAAATTGATAAACAATAGATTAAAACATCTTAGTCAAAAAAGAGGCATTCACAGGCGAATCAAAAGGGTAGAGGGGCACTAAGAAATCAATATATTCAATTACAAAGAGAAATACAAAAAGGAACATAACCATGGCACTTATGAACTAAATAATGTAGATCTTAATCTCTCTGAATACGACAAAGATTTAGGAGTTCTGGTTAAGAGTAATCTAAAACCGAGACATCATAAAGTGTTCTCAGTTAAGCGAATAAACCTCTTGACTTCATTTCAAAAAGTATAAATAACAGGAGTTCTCAGGTTTTTCTTCAGCTCTATATATCATTGGTTAGGCCTCAGTTAGGTTACACAGTTGTGGTGTAACAAGTGCGCTGAAAGACGTACAGAGAAAGATGA